CAGAATTGGCAATGAACTGAGGGTGAAATTAAAAAGATGGGGCTGAGGCTGCCCTGAAGTTTCTAGCCTAGGTCCCTGGGAGAAGAGTAGCACACTTATTGGATTAGGAATACAAAGGAGCAGGGACTTTTGGGCAAGGAAAAGAAAGATCACAGAATGCCATTTCCCCTACTTCCCTGTCTGACCTAGGTTAGGAAATAGATAGCACCTAAGGGTACAGTCTGGACATGTGCTTCAGTTTCTTGATTTTTCTCCTTAAAGTCAAGCACAGGAGTAGAATATGGATCATTTGAACCCTTATTCTTGCAGCTCTATTTGATCCATCTTGTCCTATCTCATCTCTAGGGTTGACAAACTAGAACTTGGTTGCTTAGCACAGGCTGAATGTGTCCCTGCTCCTCACAGAGGACACTTCCTCCTCTGCTCCATCACCCTGAGCAGAAGCTGCCCACAGGTCGGCGATCTGATGCCCTCACCCAATTCAAATATTTGGTCCCAAAGTTGTGCATTTTTGCATTTGACTCCTGCATGGTGTGAGGCATCGTTGTTCCATTCCTGACCAGGGTAATCTCACAGCCTCCCATTCCCTCTCTTCTTCTGTCTCTCCAAAATCACCATCTTCCTGGATCTTATTCCTGACTGGGTGCCCCTCTCGCATTCTACCCTGGCTTCCTGACCAGGTGAGGGAACAGGCTGTAGATCCACGGAAGGTTTCCTGTAGTAGATCAGGACACTGGAAATGTCACACCTGTCAGAGAAAGTCAGAACTACTTAGCTCAGCCTTGGCACCTGTGGTAGAGTAGCCCTCAATCTGTTATCCATGAGGCATTCCTTTATTACAGAGTAACATCTCCCTGTATTCACTTGTGGCTATGACCTGACCTTCACCTATAGTTATTTGGATTCTTTTTTCTTTTCTTTTTTTTTTTTGGTACGGGGGAATCAAACTCAGGACCTTGGGCTTGTGAGACAGGCAGGGGAACCACTGAACTAAATCCCCAGCCCTAGTTTTTTGGATTCTTACATACAATTATATACTCAAGCATGGGTGCCTGTGCGCGCGCGCACACACACACACACACACACACACACACAGGCACATTTTTAAGTTTTTAAATAAGAGACCCAAGTGATAAGAAAACAAGCTGTCAGAAATTTGTCTTTCAAAATACAATAATGCAACTTCCAGAGGTCAATAAAGGGCTGGTACAAGTGTTACACATATTCTTATACCTTCTGGACATACACAACTGTGATTAGTGATAGAGGTGACAGCAGTGAGGACCCAAGGCATTGAAATGTCTTCAGTCAACAGTCTTTCAACCAGTACTGATCCAGAAGCTTCTAGGGATCAGGCATTATGCTAGGTGCAGTGTGGGGCTCAAAAGTGAGACCAACACAACTTTGCTCCCTGGGAGCATACAGCCCTTTGGAGAGAGAATTTCACACATGTGAAAAAATAATGGTGACACAAGAGCTATCACAACGACATGCACAAGTGGAGTGATGGAATTCTTGGTATTGGTCTCTGTTCCTCCACTTGCCTTAGCACATGGCCATTTGCCCTTACTGAGTGATTCACCTGGTTAGTCTCATTCTTCACCCTGGTTTCGCTGATGTCAGGACAATGTGAATCTACTCACACTGGGGCATTTATAGGATATCCCTTCCTGGGACATTTATAGGAACAGTATCAAGAACTCTATAAACCTATTCCATCCCAGGTACTGCTTTAAATCATTTTATAAAAGTCTTAGCCAGATAGACTAGAGGGGTGCATACAGCAACCTGAATGAGCTGGTTATATATTCTTAGCTTGAGATATAGTTCATAGTTAAGAGTGGTAGGAACTACTGAGTTTTAATCCCTTCCAATCCTGAAATCTGTTAATTTCATAAAAAAAAACCTATCTTAACAAAATATCTCCACTATTTGATTTGGAATTTGTAGTATACATTTCTCTGAATGCATTAGCATTTCCAAGATTGTATTGTATAGAACACTACTGTGGGATATTCATAGGTTTTATGGGAAAAGTAGTGTTTCTATGATCAATGTGTTTGGAAGATTTGGGGTTAAACAAAATTAGCCAAACTTTTCACAGCAGGACTTCTTTCAACCTTTAATATACCAGTGCTTGCTATGAATTGAGAAAAGGCAAAAATATTATACAATGATTCCTACCCTGATTTCTCATCTTACTTAACATGGAATCTTGTTTTCATGAAATTTCTAATATCTTTGGGAAGCTGATGTCCCGAGAAACACACATTAAGAAATACTGTATATAAACTGGTGGTGGTTACCTGTTTCCCATATTTTTTTTTGGTAAATAGCTTTCATTAGCTTCAGGGAAGTCTAAGTTTAGATATAAAGAAGAGTTTCCTAACTGTAAGGATGCTTGGAGAGTAGAACTCTATAGTATCCCAGGAAATTGCAATAAAAGAACATCCCAATCCCTTTCTTGTCCTTCTGCAAGATTTCCCCTGAGTTGTTATAAATAGAATGAATCATCAAGGAAGCTCCTAGATTATTTTTATATTAAGATGCCTTTGAAAATAGGAAATAGGATATAGTTGAGGGATAAGAAGATAGGAATTAATAGGCAGGAAAACATATTGTCTAACTTCTGGATAGACTGTCTCTAAATGTCTGCAATTAGCTCATTCATTCTTATTCTGCCCAGAATGTGCATTTACAGGATCTGACTTAGGTTTCCACAACACGTGTAACTAAAGGAGGGGGTTAGATCCTGCCTAAGATCTCATGGAAGTGTTTTAGTATCTGTCATACATTGAGCACTTCTTATTTGCCACATATGATGCTAAACCTTTGCATAAATTTTGCTTGTTCCTTGAAACAACCTAGGAGGTTGCTAGTATTATTGCTCTTATTTTACACAGTATGGATCTGAAGCCCAGAAATGCTAAAGACCTTACTTAAAGTCATATGTCCAGGTTGACCATGAACCTGGCTTTAACACAGAAGCCCTTATCCACTCTATCCTCCTGGCCCCACTCCCATTGTAAGTTTGTGGACATCCAAGACATCATGCTTCCTTGAATGAGCCTCCATCCATTAGGCTGTGCATGTGGGGAGAGTGTAGTGGTGGGGCCATGTGTCTGCCCACATTGATAGGAGACCAGGGGAAGAAGACATTTTCCAGCCCTCACTGACCATGGCCAATAAAGCCCTTGGTTTCCCAACAGCAGCCTGGCTCTGTGTCTTGTCACCTCACCGTTGACAAATGCATCTCTTCTCATTAGCCATCTGCCCCCTCATGCCTGCTGATAGCCCACGGTGCACAGGCAGCTGCCTTGTGAAGAGAGACAGAACATAAGATCAGCTTATGAATCAATACATTCTCTGGCACATCCATTTCCCCCCCAATGGGAGTGTGGCAGGATCCAAAATATACTTAATCCCATCCAGCTCCACTCTATCAAGGAGCTGATGGCTTCAGAGGAGTCTTTGTTATTCCAGTCCACAAGCTGAAGCTAATGAACATGGACTCTGGGCAGGTGGGCTGAGGTCTGCAGCCGTAGGTCTTGGCAAAGGTTGTAGATGGTAAGGGAAGTACCATGGGCTGGAGGAGCTTTGTCTTCAGAAAAGGAGACCACCTATAGGAAAGCTGTAATTCCACCTGGCCAGAAAGTAAGTCTAAGGTACTTGCCATCTGTCACTGTTTGAGCACTTAGAATGAGTGTGTCATTTCAGTCTGAGAAGATGGCTTTACCCGGAGATCGGCAAGCTGTACAACCCATATATATCCTCTTGCCTAGTTTCCCTGTTTAGGGCCAAGGGAGACCTTGGAGGTGCCGGACTCTGAGCTCAGAGAACTCTGCTTCTCTCAGTGACACTAGCTGGCCTCAATGGCAGTACACCTACAGGCTCACACATGGCCAGGTGATTGGGCAAAGACCATGGGTTGCCTAGAGAATGCTCTTGAACTTTTAGATGTCACTGTCCCATATGGGGCATCTCTGACTGCCTTGCTTAATGCAGCCCCCACCCCCTCAGCTATCTGAAATGGTAATGAATTTGTTTCCTTAACTATCTTGTTTCTTCCAGTAGCCTGCAAGATCCTTGAGAGCAGCAAGTACATCTCTCATTCATATCCTCTGTGCCTAAAACAGTGTTGGGCACATGAGAAACGAATGAAAAAAATAATGAGAAATGAAGGCATAACCATGCCTACAGATTTGCAAGTTCAGATTCTTAGAAAATGAACTTGATTTGACACTCTTCTATAGAACAAAACGCAAGTTCCCAGCCTGGCATCCAGGCACTTAGATTTTGGCCCTGCAAACCCCTCCTGCTTCATTTGTCAGCACTCCTCCCCCAGCTCCATGCATCCTGTGTGCTCATCCAGGGGCTCCCACATGTTGCCATGCATAAGCTGAATGCTACTCAGCTCCAGCCATACAGACTCAGCTGGTCATAGATGGGGTACAGAGATTGTCACTTTTTAAAAAGATGCTTAAGTGATTGTGATGGTAGAATCACACTTTGAGGAGCTATGCTTTCTCCAAAGTGCACCCTAGGCAGCTAACTTAAAGGACCACACACATTCTTACCTCTATGTCTTTGTCTACACGGTGATTTCTGGCTGGAAGAACCTAAGTCCAGACATATTTTCTACCTGGAAGAACCCTTTACATCCTTCAGACTTCAGCTCTAGTCATATCTTCAGTGAATATAGTCTTGCCTATGCCAGGGACATATATCCAGGTTTCTTTCTCTATCTAGTATGTTTTGTATTTTGTATATACCTTGCTTAGAGATTATTCTACTTATTTCTCTATTTATCCCATGAACTCTGACACTGTAAGCTCCTGGAAGAACCACTCTTGGTAAACCCTGGACCCTTAGCACCCAGCAGAGCACCTCGTGTTTATTGGACTAGAGCAAGGTCCCTTGAGGGTGCTATAGCACAGCCCATCTGTCATTCTCTCCCTTCTTAACTTTGTTCTCTGTTTCTGACTGCTGGGTCTTTGCAGGAGTTCTCACTCCAGAGAATGGACAGCCTTGTGGATGATCGTGTCAACATCCTAGGATTTTCCATTTTCAACCAATCTCATGCTTTTTTCCAAGAGTTTGCCCAGAGCCTCAACCAATCCTGGCAAGAGAACTGTGACCATGTCCCCTTCACTGGACCTGCGGTAAGTGTCCCCCAGAGCTCCTCCCTGGTGTCCTGGGGCTCCAAGTGCACCCCACTGTGGCCTGACTGCTGGGAACAAGCCCTCCTGGAGTCCACCCTTTTCCCTTCTCCAGTCCCAGCTCACAATGATGTGTAGATGTGTTGGGAAGTGAGTACAGGGATGAGGTTCAGGGAGTAGTGAGCTCAGAACACCAAATGGGTCGAGAAGGCAGAGCGATAGGGTCATGTGGAGGCTCTAAGTTGTCATTTACTGTTGTCTGCAAGCCTCCTGTGGTCAGACCCCCCATGGTGCTGTTGCTGAGAGCTCCTGCTCCAGTGCTCTTTCCACCTTACTGGGCCACTGCTCCAAGTAACTCATCTAGAGAGGCTTCTTTTCTGACCCCCTGTGTTTTTGTCCCTCTACCTGGTCATTCTTCATTGGGTTGGCTATTCTTATGCTGTGGGGCAGGTCAAGTGTATCCGTCATATCCATATTTTAAATGGCAAGTTCTCAGGAGCTCAGGATTACATGGCTTTCTCAGCCTTGTCCTAGGCAGATTCCATACATCATTTTATTTTTTTAAAAAAGCAGCCCATGTGCAGCTCACCATAGCTTTCTGAGATCAGTGCTATCAGTATATCCGTTTCTCATATGACAAAACTGAGGCCCATAAAGTTTGAGTAACTAGCCCAGGCTCACAGAGCTAGACCTAATCTTGGAACTCAGGCTTTCTTGTATGACTTTAAAGTTTGTATTTTGAACCATGGTGTTATTTTGTTCCTCTCTAGGACCACTATTTCCTTCCCACACTGTAATTAGGCCAAGCAAAATTAAAATACTTAATAGATATTTGTCAAATATATGAATAAGTCAGGTGGAATGAGCTAGAAAGATATGGAAAAAAATCGCCTGAGAGATGGCAATTGACCCTTCTGGAGAGGGAAGTTCTCTGATGGGCTTTTAAAACAAGATCCGTATCTGTCTTTGATATGACATGCCCAGATGCAAAGGCATATCTAGAAATCTGCACACATGGGTACCTAATTAGCGGTTGGCAACATGGTGATCCAAGGTGGGCCTGCCGAGGGCAAGGCATGGACATAGTGACCTTTTATAAAACTCTGGGCCTTTATGATTCCATAGCCTGATGGAAATTTTAGGAAGGAATGGTGCCCAAGGGGGTTAGAGCTCACAAAATACTCAGGAAGCTTTGATCCAGGAAAGCAGACAGGAAAAGAGGGATTGAGAGCGGAGTTTTAAAGAAGGTTTATGGAGTGCATCCCAGCAAGCTATTTTAGACTTGAAAGAGCTAAGAATCCATAGGAAGGATTTGAGGGTCAGGAGAGGGGGTCATCTGGAGGAAGGGAGCTCTCACCCCATTAGATGGCTTAAGGGGCAGTGAGAGACATCATTAAGCACAGTGTCTTGTATAAGATCAGAATCATCCACCTGCAAGAATTTGAGCCCTATTCCACCAGTAGAGTCTGAGGTTCTTGCAACAATCACTCCAGTACTCTAATGAGGCCCTGATGAACTTGAAAGGCTGATAGCACTGTGTCAGGAAAGGGAAAACAATGCCTCCTCCTCTCCAGTCCAAACCTTACCACATTTGGCATTTGGCATAGTAAAAGCAAAGGTTCCCATGTTATATTTCCAGTTTCTCTCTGAGGGTGTCAGCCCTGCAATTAATGCTCACTGGCCATGAGTAGGCAGACAAGAGCCTCTTAATCACCAGTGGGATCCTTTGTAAGGACCCAACAAAGAGCCTCTCATAGAACTGCAGGGCCAGCTCTAGCCGAGGTCACACATCCCAAAAGACCACTAGACTCAAACATCAACTTCACCATTTTCTTGCTGTGTGATCTTAAGTAGTTATCTAGCCTGTCTGTGCCTTATACCCTTTATCTATAATATTAGTCTAATTATGCTTGAGCATCTTAGGAGATCATTGGATAAGTTTATCTAATCCTCTATATGCTGGGATAGGCCTCCGTAAATATATCAGACAGTTTTGCTGTATCAGTGCTTTTTAACAACCAACCACAAAAAAGAACCACTAGCAAACAACAGTTCACATTTAAATGGCTTGTGCATCTGCGGGTCCCCTGGGCATCAGCTCATTTAAGCTGACTTACCTAGGCAGCTCTGTTGACCCAGCCAAGGTCATGCAACAAATCTGGGTTGGCTGATGTAGATTGGGCATGTTGTGGTAGCTCTGCTCCATGTGCCTCTCCTGTTTCCCCTGGACCCACAGGCCAGCCTGACATGGGATCGAAGATGGGTAGCAATGCAATTGAAAACACACAAATGTCCGTGTTAATCAGCTTTTCATTGCTGTGACCAAATTCCTGAGAAAATCAATTTAGAATAAGAAAAGTTTATTTTGGCTCACAGTTTCAGAGGTGTCAGTCTATCGTTGACCAGCTCCATTGCTTCTAGGGTATAGTAAGGCAAAACATCATGGCAGAAGTGCATGGCAAAGGAAAGCTGCTCACTTTATGACAGGCAGGAAGCAGAAAGAGCATGAGAGCCATAGAGGAAGGGGCCGGGGACAAGATACAGTCCCAAGGTCATGTGACCATGACCCACTCCTTTCAACTAGGCCCCATCTCCTAAGTTTCTATCACCTCCCAACAATGCCATCAAATTATGATCTCATCAATGGATTCATCAACCAATGAAGATAGAAGGCTCATGATCCAGTCACCTTCTAAAAGCCCCTGCTCTGAACACACGAGACCTTTGGGGGACATTTTAGATCTAAACGTAACAACCTCTGAGACCTAAATCCCGCAAAAAAATACAACATGGCTTCTTCTTCATTTTGTTTGGCAAAAAAAAAAAAAAGGCATGCAAAGCCATATAAGGAGGAAATGTAATCTACCCTTTCAGAGGGCAAAAGGAATACAGATTCACATGGCGAAGAGCCTGAATGCCTGAATGTGGGGCAAGCTAAGGCACTGAGGCCCATTACTCAGTCTGTAAGGTGAAGAAGGACAACAGTCACTGTGCTAGGTACATGCAGGAAGCAAAATCACCTTCCCATGGAGGAAAATGGCTCCAGAGTTGTGTTATTCCTGCAGAAGCAGAGGGAAAGCTCTCTGCCTATAGGGTTCAGGGAAGGCCTTCCAGAAGGTGGGAAAGAAATATAGTCATGAGCCACACAATGAGGTTACAGTGAACCACAGATCACACACCCAACAGTGGTCCCATAAGATCACATTGCCTAATGACTTCCTAGCTGTCTTAGTGTGTATAAATGCACACTCTGATGTTCTAACAATGGCAAAACTGACTAATGACAGACTTCTCAGAACGAGTCCCCAACATTAAGAGATGCATGACTGACTTGCTGCTCATTTTCTGTGTATAAAACCCTGGGAGTGTACACAGCCTCCTGGGAAGAGGTGGCTCTCTGTTGCCTCACTCCACAGACCTGGAGAGGCTGTCCTGCCCTATAGAATCTGCCTGGAGCAGCTTAAATACAAACCTTGACCTCACCAGTCACCCTCCCAGTCCTGGTCCTGTCTTGGAATTCCCAAAGCCTCAGCTTTGCAGGCTCCCCAAGGATTTTGGGAAGGGCTTTGGGCAGCCAGGAGTGTTCTGTGGAGGCTCCCTCCCTGCTGGGTGCGAAAAGTCACCATTACTGAGCCTCAGATCTAGAACTGATCTCTGTATGTGGTCACAGGCTCTGGTCCCACTTCATCTGGGTGTTATGGCCAAGCTCCTTTGATTTTATTTTACTTATGTCTTTTACCTCTAAAATGGATGTGTTTTTTTCTTGCTCTGGAGATTGGGCTGCTGTGCTTGTCTCCACACAGCTGAAGACCACCATAGCATTGCTCATGAACTCACCCTGCCCTGGCCTTTTATCCTCATCATATCATCCTAGTAACAGGGTGGTCCTGCGGCTCTTTTTGACAAATGAGGAAACAAGTTCAGAAGAGCTCGATGGCACATTAGAGTCTCTACCACAGCCTGTTTTAGCTCTTAAATCTACTGCTTGGTGTGGGGAACTTTCCAGCCATCATCTCTGTGATGGCCTCTGAGGGAGAAGGGAGGTGCTGTCACCTCTAAGTACTGGAAGGGACTCTCACAGCAGTGACAATAGCAGCACATCTCTCTCAAGACTTCTCACTTTAGCAGCTTAACCTTTGAAAACCTACATCTTCTTGTCTTTCTGGGGGCTGAGAAACTCCTGGCACAAATCACTCAGCTCTTTCTTGAAGCTGAGGGAGTCCATTCCAGGAAAATTCAGCCTAGTTTTTCTCCCAATGGAGCACTGTAAAAAGTCTAATCCCAGCTCCCACTCAGTGTGGACAATCCCTTTCCTTCCCCTTCTTCCTCTCTTTGCCCTTTTCTTCTCTTTCCTTTTCTCTCCTTCTCAGGCTCATTCCCTTGCTTTGTTTCTCCCACATCCTCCTGTCACTCTTCCCTCTCACTGTTGCCTTCTCCATGTGACCTCCTTTCTATTTCTCTTTCTCTTTCTTCCCTCCCCTCCATACTTCCCACCCTTTCTCCACTCCTGGCATTTTCTCCTCATTCCCTTCTTCCAACTGGTGGATGAGTCTCCTTCATTTCTTCACTTTCCCAGGATTCAAGGTGGAGCTGTCAGAACAGGACAGGAAAAGAGTGGCTGGATGGGAAGGTAACCAGGAAGAAAGTTCATTCCACTCAACCAGGCGGAACTTGCCAGGTGGCCAACAGCAGGCTGCAGATGCACTGTCTGCCCAAGACAATGCAAGTAGAGGAGGGAGTGTGAACAGAGACACTCACCCACCAGCTTCAGATGTCATTCTCATTAATCATGCTGCAAAGAACGAAAATCCTGGGAAATCATTAAAATTACAGATGGCTGGATTAAGTAATTAGAATTTAGGGTAAAGCAGATGTTTGTAATTAAGTGTTTATTTCATTGAATAAAATCCAGATTGTAAGAACTATTCCATGAGATGTCTATGGTTCCTGCTCCAGTATTATATCAAGGGGCAGAGTTTATGTGTACAGAAGTTCAACAACAA